GGTAGTGGTACGCATCATCCAGGATAGCATGTGCATTCGTTCCTCCTACGCCGAAAGAGTTAATTGACACTCGGCGAAGACCTGATGTAGGCCATGGAACAGCCTTATCGACAATAGAAAGATTCCATTTCTCGAAGGGAATCTTGGGGTTTGCCTTTTCGAAATTGGCTTGTGGTGGAATGACACCATTCTCTAGTGCCAGCACACTTTTGATAATTCTATACATGAAATGGTTAGTTGCGTTCTTTCTGGTAATTGAGATTTCATGAGAGGCCCGTTGGTGGATAACATACCCTGCAACACCAGCAGCACCTTCCAAGTGGCCTACACTCGCTTTCACCGAGCCTAGATAAAGCGGTTTATCTTTTCGTCTCGATTTGAATGCTTGTGCAATTCCGCGGGCCTCAATTGCGTCTCCCTGTTTTGTGCCAGTACCGTGTGCTTCTACTAATGTGGTGTCGTCAAAGTTTAGTCCGGCAGATGCGTACGTGGTTCTTATCAATCTTTCTTGTGCATCGCTACTTGGAAGAGTTAGGCCTGGAGTACGGCCGTCTTGGTTGATACCTGTGCCACGAACTACTGCACGGATAGTATCACCATTGCGAATGGCATCGCTGAGACGCTTTACAATGACTGTGCCTGCTCCTTCTCCACGAGCAAAGCCATTGGCGCGGTGATCGAAACTGAAACATCGACCATCGGGGCTGAGGAAGCCTTGATGCGACATGCCATTAACGTCGCCTTAAGAAGACATGATGGTCAGCGATTGTAAAGCAAATTCATCGCAGCTTTGACTAACCAGGGTAATTGAGAATTGTTACTCCAGTAATGATGGACATATCGCTCTCCCCCGTTCGTAGACTCTGGCTACCAAGATGTAAAGCAGCCATGGAGCTAGAGCACGCTGTATCGATAGTCACACTTGGCCCTTTTAGGTCGAAAAACCACGAGACACGATTACTGTGCATTGAGTTGGTAAGGCCAGTAACGCGATGTCTCAGTGTTGTCTCTGGATCGCTGTTTAGGATGGCTAGGTGGTCGTGGTTGAAGCCAGAGACGTAAACTGAAGTATTGGATCCCGCGACTTGCTCCAATGTCAAACCACTGTTTTCAAGAGCAAGGTACACATTTTCCAGTACCACACGTTGTTGAGGATCCAGTGACATGGCTTCGCCTTTTGTGATTCCAAAAAAAGAAGAGTCAAAGTATGCAGGATCTTCGGCAAGAAAGTGACCGCCTGGGAAGTGCAAGATACTTTTGTCAGCTACTGATGTTCATCAATCTATGGATTATGCGTATCGTACCTGCGACAGCATGTGTGCCGCCATGTTCAGGATCGGGATGGTAATGTCCTGGGCCCATTCGGTCTTCAGGAATTGGTGTATGGGCACATCGCTTCGCCAGTAAAAACTGCCATAGCTTTTCTGTGTTATAGGCTTCTTGCGGGAAGCGGGTTGCAAGGCCAACAATGACTAAAGGCTCTGCTGCTGAAGCAGTCTCAACAAATGACACTGGCATTTTCGGATTTGTTATTTTGACATGAAGAAAAACTAGACTTGATGCATTGGCATGTTCCTTATAAGATGAGCTTGCACGCTAAAATTTCCAAAATAGTTCGTTCTCCTAACTTTGATGCAGGCTTGATTTTCATAGCATCCGCTGTTACCACCGATTATCATATTACCCGATCTAATACAGTCCAATCGAAGATCACCTCAGAATATCTATATCCTTGAAGCATACAAAATGACTCGATGTAAGCTCTTCAATACAGCCGAGACAAGTAGGGGACTGGGTCCGGTGATGGCAGTGGTCCAGAATGTGTCTTATTTCGTACACTATCCTCCGTTTTGCTGGTATGACAGCGCTAGGTAGGTAAAATGGAGCCTTAGCAGCCGAATTAATTGGCCAGAGGGGCATATCAAAATTTAGTCAAGAGTACGCAGAGTATAGCGCATTTCAGCACAGCATCACTACCATGCTCAACGGCAAAAAGCGTGACTGGGTTTCGGATGGGATACCCGGAAGAAAAAAAATGGGGTTATTGGATTCGATAGTTCTCTGTTTGGCGGAATACATGTGAACTACAGAAGCGATATCGGTGGTTCTCTGTGTTTGCCTTCGTGAACGATTTCTAAGATCACCAGGTTTTTGATCCTACAAGTTTTATTCGGAACAGCTCAAAAGAGATGTAACGGGCCCCTGCGTGCATAGGCGCTACTGCAAAACTTACCCCAGGTCGCTGCACTCCACCTCAACTTCGGCCATATATAGCGGTCCGATTTCAAAAAAAAACGAATTCCCGCATGATCACGCCACAGCTGATCAGCTCTGTTCCAGGTATCCATTGGCACATTCTACACACATGCCTAATTGATAACGCTAGATAATTTATCCTCCGCATCCTGTCCAAGGGCCTGCTCGGTTCAGCGTGGTTTACTATTAGCTCGACCTCTAAATCCGTAGCTAGATTTCGATACCGCCCTTTCACTACGTGACTTTACTAGACTTAGACTATTACGTGGCTATATAATAGGGCCCTAACTAAACAGCCCGTCCGTTTTTTATCCTATTCCAGATAGACCTAGCCGCGACGCTAGCTAGCACTCCCCTGTTGAAGCTCTAAACTCAAAATGGGATCAAAATGGAAACCGAAAATCAAAAACCAAAAAGCACCAATTCTTCCATATGGTGGGGAAGAAACGGGCCGGCCATTGTATTTCTTGTGGGGCCTGCATCTCAGAGGTGAAAGCATGAACTGAGAGTAAGGGAACGAAAATGAGTCGCTAGAGGAATTTTTGGGGAGCAGTAAAATCAGTCTATAGAGCATCTTCCTAACTTTTTACATAGTCCACGCGAATATATTGGCACCATGGTCCTCGAAATTCAGTGGCAATATCCGAAGGATTTGCTTGGGTTGCTTTCTCTCATCATAGGGCTGGTTGTGGCAACGATCCTTTTCACCTACTCCATCTCCTACATCTACAGCTTCCAAGGATCTAGGCACGAAGTATCTGAGCCGCCTTTACTGCCTTATTGGATTCCATACTTCCAACATCTGCCCGCATTCCTTCTAGACCCGGCAAGTCTCTACGAACGTGGTAGAGAATACTTCTCAGGGAAACCCTTCACTCTTCTCCTCGGCGGGACAAAGTTTTATGTCGTTTACTCTCCCGAGTCTGTCAGCCATGTCTTCAGTCGCTCTCGACTATTCACTTTCGAGCCAGTCATGGCAAGCATGATGGAAAATGCTGTTGACCTTCCACCTTCAGACCGACCCAAATTCGTTTCATCGTCAGCGGAAGGAAAAGATGGGAAATTTCTGACCGAAAACCACAACATTTGGACCCGCAATCTTTCAGGGAAACGCCTCCATGACATTATGCAAATCTACATGTCAGTTCTCCCTACTGTTTTGGAGTCGAATATCGATCTTTCGAGCGATAAGTGGCAGAAAAAGAGCTTGTACCCATTTCTTAGGAAAATCATCTTCGAGACCAGTGTGCAGACGTTCTTTGGTCCTCGTTTGATAAAATTCTGGCCGACTATGTGGGATGACTGGAGAAGATTCGATGATGCTACATACATTGGTGTGCGATCGAATTTGGTGTTCAAATTACAGCCCAAGACCCATAGAGCACGTGAGAGGATGTTCCAAGCATTTGAGCGCTGGCTAGATACCGCTGGAGATGATGAGTGGCAAGACACAGATAACGTGTGGTGTGAGAAATGGGGTCTCCGTATGAATTGGGAGAGGGATGTACTAGGCAGGCAATGTGGCTTTACGAAAAGAGGAAGAGCATGCTTGCAAGCGAGCTTTCTTTTTGTGTCAGTATATGGGAGTCATCTACAAGTTAGGAAGGGGGCTAATTGCTTGGAACAGGATCGTAACCAACGCTGCTCCAATGGCCACTTGGTTTGCATACTGTGCTGCATGCAACCCGTCTCGTCTGGCCGAGTACCGTGACGCCGCCACACCTCTTATGCTTTCTCCCTCAACCCTTTCAGGTTCAGCTTCGACGCCTCACTTTGATCTCCCAGCTCTCATCAAGAATCCATTTGTTCAGTCCCTCTGGTTGGAAGCATTGCGTCTAGGAACTATATCTGCAGCCGCGCGGGTTATAACCCGGGAAACCACTTTAGAAGGTTATCTTCTTCGAGCAGGTTCCGTAATCTTGATGCCAGTGCATTTGATGCACTCTGGTCTGGAATTCCCAGATGCAAAGAATTTCCAACCAGATCGTTGGCGAGATGTAGATGAAGAGACATTAAAACGGCAGAATATGGTGATGCGCCCCTTCGGAGGGGGCACAAGTTTGTGTTCGGGAAGATATGTGGCGGAAATGGAGATTGTTGGCGTTGTCAGCGTGCTATTGGAGATGCTCGATGTGAAATTCGAAGGTGCTCTTTCAGAGAATCAGTGGGAGTTCAATCCTAGAAGCATCGGCGTCATGGCGCCAAAGAAGGACGTTCCAGTCTGGATAAGGCGAAGAGGGAAGATGTAGACATTCCCATTCCCGAACCTATCAACTTCATAACTTTGATCAATATCATAGTAGATTGATTAGATTGCCGTTTTCTCTTTGCATGAAATTGAGAATAGAAGGAATTTCTCGACCAGTTTTGTGCTGTAGGGTTTTGGAAAATAAGTTTGCAATATTGATGTTCAGAATCGTTATCGAAGTTTAAAAAGTGGAGTCTACGTCCTTACCCGTATGACGCGCCTTGTCCGCGAGCCTAGCTGGACCGCTGACCGGGTACAATATGTAGTGCCGGAAACAGCTGGATAACAACTGCAGGGTCAACGGATTGCCCGGCCTCACCCATGCTTCTTTCTGTAGAACGAATTTGGCGATCTACCCACGTGATGTGCATGTAGGTATTTATTTCGAGTTGCCGCGGTGAACCTCTCGCATAAAACGTTTCGCGAACCCCAGAAAAATATTACATGGTTATTTGTGTGATATTCCCTCAATCACCATTTGTCGCTTGACTCAACTATGCAATTGATTGCGGCAATATTTTGCATACTTCTCGCCGTCATCGGCTTCAAATCCTTACACCTCTTCGCGACGTCTAATGGATTGTTAGGACACTTGGAACGCATAATCACCAATAAATCTACCCCGGCGGGAAGACCGCTACGTAATCTGACCACTGGCGGTCGTTTCCCACGAATCGATCTTCAGCTCAATGCGGTTGCTACGTTCCTTCTGCTCTCCTGTGAGGATTACTCAGAGCCAGATGTGAATCTTGTAGGCTTCTGGTTTGATCTATCATGGGGTCCTTCGTGGATATTGATTGTATTGGAGAGTTTCAGGGAGTACAGTCAAAGCCGACTGATGTCCTGGTAAGGAGGAAGAGTGCGCATCCGGTCCTTGATTCGCTATGCTAATCATTACAGGATCGCAATCCCGGGGCTCTTCATCTTCAACCAGTCACATGCTGTGTTTACCTCCCTTTATCTGGCAATCAGATTACTCGTTGCAGTTCCGGCGACTACAGAAGAAAGTCTGATGATTGATGCCATCCACGTCCATGCGATTCCCTGGAGCTTCCTATTGGGTTATATCCTGCCAATATCTCTCATGGCGCTGCCCGGAGTATCCATATACAATTTCAATACACAACACATGCTCGCATCATTTTATCAGCAGTGGCATCTTTACATTAGTATGGTGCATATTCTACTGGTGACATTATGGACCCATACCGAAACGATAGGCAGATTGGAGGACGGAGATTTGAAGACCTCATTGTCCACAGTCAAGCCAGTTTACGCTTTAGCCTTCGCCATGTCTGTTATCTCAGTTTGGATTCCGATCCTTGTATCTTTCGCCATCCGTACGTTACAGCGGATCCGTAAAGCACGTCCGTTTAACCACAAGAATCTCCAGCTTTCTAGTATATTCATCCCACCTTCGCCATGGAGCAATGCGAAATGCAAAAATGCATTCGAGGGAGGAAAATGGCTTCTGCAATGGGACGGTATAGTTGGAGGGCTTAGTACCGCAGTTTGGGCAGTCGCCTTGTACGCTGAAGCTCGTAGTGCGGTCGAGCCACAGGAGGGTTTAGGTTCATTTTGCACGAGGCTCATGTGGTATATGGTCTTAGGTGGACCGATTGGTGTTGCAACGGGGGCTTTATGGGAAAGAGACATGCTCTTGCTGTAGCGGATCTAAATTTGTGATGGTTTAAAATATCGAGCAAATAGTTTCCATATAGCTAACATCGCTCAAACCCCGATCTATCTTGCTCTCTATCAATTTTGATGATGTCGTTGTGACCTTTCGGCATTACACCTTACACCATTTTTAGCGTCCATCTTCGCGGTGGATGGGGACAAGCCAAGCAGAGCATGCTTGAAAGCGGTGTAGGCGGCTCCACAAGCAGCCGCTCGCATCGAGACTGTTGAGCAGATTTTGACAACACAGACATCCTATAGCTAGAACAAAAAGGGCAGTATGCAAGCGTGCACGAGATACATCGGCCCACCCACATTGACGTAAAGGATTGATACCAACCAGCGATCGTTGTGGTCGCTACTAGGACTAGAAAATTCGAAATGCCATTTATGATGAATCAAAGAGAAGCTCCTATTAGCTTCCGATGAATCTCGAGAAAACGATGCTAAAGGCCGTAAAACAACAGCGACCTTCGACTTACGTGGCCAGATGGATCTTTTTCAAAACGACTACCTGCGTAGCGACATACTCAATTTTCTTGGCGGAGTTGCATTTTGACGCAGCGGTCTGCTTGGGGATAGGATGCTCGACACCTGCCGCTGAAAAGAGAGCGTATTATGGGGACAAGAAAACAACCGGGTGAAGAATGTACTCGGGAGCTTTTGCAAGTCTAATGCAGTGCACTGACTTGAAGACGCTAGATTCTGTGAGTAATTCACTTGTGGAGGAAACGTCTTTTACCGGCTCCACTACTAATCGGACCGAACACCTATACGAATACCTCGGAGCCATTCCCCGAATGTCACACATGAGATCCTGGTAAGCACGCGAGCTAGTTTTTGTGACGTACATAATACATAAGACTAGGCTTTCGAGCCTTGTTGGTAATAAGCTATGTAGATCCTTGCAACCATGCTTGGAGTCGGATGATTGACCCGATATAGTTTTCATCCTAGGTTTCGGATAGTAGTCAACTCGGAAGCGTATCATCGCACGTGGCATGTTCATGCAATTCATTAATATATATTGACGTTCTATTCCTGATTTCCGGAACATGTCCGGGCGGACAAAGCGCTCGAGAGGCTAGAGTGATCGCGTATTCTCTAAGCTGCACTTTGCATGATCAGTTGATTGAACAAGACAACCCTAACGCTACAACTTCGGTGCCAGTCGATACAAGCGACCCTCCCATGGCTGCAACGTGACTTCATTCAAGCCAGCTTCCGTCAATGTCGCAGTTGTCGTGCAAACGAGATGCATGAGATCTTTCCCGATTGGCACCGGAATCAGAGATTCCTCGCTCGAGAAGTTCAATACCACTAGCATCTCGGACTTTCCATCAGTGCTTACTTTCGTATACGAGAACACACTGGGGTTGTCCCTGTCAACAAGACAAAAAAGCCCGCAAGCTAACACATCATACATCTCTTTCCTCATCTTCATCATCTTTACCCAGAAAGAACGTATGCTATTTGGGTTTCCGAGCTGCTCTTCGACGTTTATGTGAGTGTAGTTGTCGATGACCCTAATCCAGGGCTTCACGTCACTGAAACCAGCATGCTCTTTGTCTGACCACTGGACTGGTGTTCTTCCGTTATCTCGCCCCCAGGTAGTAAGCGCATCAATTGACTTCTCTACCGCTTCAGCGTCTTTAGTTGGATCAATATCTTCGATGTGTTCGAGGTCGGCGTTGTCTTTGAAGTCATCTCGCCCCCAATGTGATGGGACGTTGGTCATTCCGATCTCCTGACCCTGGTAGATGAAAAAGGTTCCGGAAAGGGTTGCAGCCATCAGAGCAAGCATCCTTGCGGCAGCTTCGCGATACACCCCCTCACCTGGCCCAAAACGGGATACACTGCGAGCGAAATCATGGTTCTCGAGGAACGCAGTAGGCCAGCCTCCATCATCGAGAAGGCTCTGCGTCTTCAGGACGGCATCCTTGAATAGTGGTAGCTCTGGCTTTTTGAGCTCGTACAGCCCATCTGTCCATTCATTCCCGACGATGAAAATGTCTGTATCGAGAGCCATCTCCAGTTCTTTTGATTCGGGAGATATGTATCGTAGGAAAGTCTCTCGGTCCGTTGAGGGGAGTTCCCCAATCAACACGATGTTCTCTCCAAAGTCCTGTACGATTCTTTCTTTCAACTCCTTTAACCAGACATGAACCTCTTCACCATTCAAACAACGCGATCCGTCAAGCGGTTGCAGCGCTTCTCCAGGATAAACTTCTTTTGCATCAGGAAAGGTTGGATCTTTCCAGTATAACCCAACCAAATCCATCCGGAACCCATCAACACCTCTCTCCAACCAAAATTTCACCGCGCTATCATATACTGCCCGTCTCAAGTCGTCGCAAAACCAATTCAAGTTTGGTTGATAAGTGGTTCCAAAGCAGAAATAGTATTGACCCCGTGCTTCAACGTACTTCCATGTACTCTTTCCATACCGTGACCCGGTGCGCCAATTATTTGGCGGTTGTCGATTGCCTTCGCTATCATATTTTGGATCCCTCCAGATGTAAAAATCACTGTATGGCCCTGACCGAGATTTGCAACTTTCCAGGAACCAGTGATGTTTGTCGGATGAATGATTTGTGACCATATCCATGACGATCTTGATGTTACGTTTCTTGGCCTCTTTGATGAGGTTTTCCATGTCGGCAACGGTGCCATATTGCGGGTGAATGGATTCGTAATCGGAGACATCATATCCCATGTCTCTGTTAGGCGAATCATAGACAGGAGAAAACCAGATGAGATCGATTTCCAGCGATCGCAGATAGTCGAGCTTGCTGAGAACTCCATTGAGGTCGCCTATGCCGTCACTATTCGAATCTTTGAAAGACGCCGGCCATATTTGGTAACCGATGGCAGTTTGCCACCAAGGCCGTGAGTCTGGTGGCATCGTGAATGTGGAGTTTTTGGAATAGAGCCGGGCGTTCTGTTATAGCACGTGCGACCAAATTTGTGAAGTTTACAACATATGAGAGCATACGTATTCTATGTAATATTTTGCAAGATCCCTGAGAAAGGCTACCTGGTAGTCGGACCGCTGCCTATTGAACGACCGGGAAAACGATTACGGAATGTTTCCCGTCCGTATTAGCAACACCTGATCCCTTGCAGAGCATCCGGCTGTATTTGCCTGCTGGTAAGCTCCCGCAAGCGTCCGCCAGAAGCCGAAAATCTGGAATCGAACAACCCCAGCAAAACCTTTTCTGCGAATATGACGGGTTTTTGATATTTCTTGCACAGAGTTGATTACTGATGCTAGAGGAACCATATTCTACGTATGCTACGTCTATGAGTTTCACTCCCGTTGACGCCGAGAGGGGATTGCATCGGCACTACACTGCAGCATTTCCAAGCTTTCATGGCATTCATGCTTCGCTGCTGCCGATTTCTCAGTCCAAGCTTGTGAGGGTCTACCTAGTTCCACACCGTTGGTCAGGTGTCATTTCGCCCGGTCGGCAGAACCACATACGACGTCAGCTGCGGTGGGGAGAAACTGGGGTCTCCAGTTCCAGTATTGCTGGTGTAGAGGGTTGCATTAGCAATGCAGGCATGGATGCGCCACCACGCGATTGACCCATAAATGGTCGGTGTTAGTTGTGGAGCTAGATTCGGGCCTATACAATAGGCGCTTGAAGCGGAGCCAAGAACAACAACGTATTCGGGGCATTTGCGACATTTCTCTGCTTTAGTGACAAACGGCGTGTCATTGGTGCTATTTCTCCCCTGGCCGCCGCTACCACCTTAGTAAAACAGCCCCGCAATAATTAAAGATGTACGTATTCATCCTATATAGTAAAAAATGGAGATAAGAATTTTCACACTAGCAACGTCTCGATTCCTGTGGCTGGCGACGAGAAGAGGTGTACCACACCAAGCTAGTGTCAAAGGTCATTGCTAAATCTCTTCAGTAAGTTATCTCCGCACCCTAGGAGGGATATGAATCCTTCGTTTGTGTCTTGGAGGTGGGATCGGAAAGTTTTTCATGTGAAAGAGCTTGAACTAGAGAAGCTATTCGTTTAGAGGAGCAAGCAGTAGTTTACCCCATAATATCACACATTCTTATGATAGCTTGGATTTCAGAAATGATTTTGATCCATATTGTTCTTTGACATATGTACTGCATTGGGACTGATGTCTACGTGCTCGCTCTTGCTATGATATGCTTCCATTGGGAAAGTCGTGTGACTGCGTCTTTTTATCATACTACTCTGGGATTTTCCCAAACGAATGTGAGAGGGCCATAGGTGTGCATTTTACGAATCAGTGTCTATGTAAGTCTGGGTGAGCAGGGCAAAGCTGGCAAGACACAAGTGGAGGCAACCCGAGACAAACAACCCACCTTTTCTCGACTCAGTCCTAGCCGATGCCCAGGCTGAACTAACTGCCACCCCTGACGCCGCAAATAGGGTCTTTGCTCGTGTTTGGAAATCTTCGCCCAGCGGGGTTTAAGAAGTACGTGGTATATCGCCACGCAACCTGAGGGAGCTGACTTCCACGGAATATCCCGCCGCTCAGCTTGTACTACAGTACTCAACTTTTTCAGTGCTCAACTTGTTCAGTAGTTAACTTGCACAGTGCTCAGCTTGCTCAGTCACTCAGTTTGTCCTTTTATCTCACTTACCCTATCAAACAGCCCACTACTTCACTTTTCTGTAATCAGGTGATTAATCATGAAGATTCTTTGCCTCCACGGACGAGGCTCTAACAATGAGGTTAGCAAAATGTCAAGCCCCCTTGCGGATTTCCCTCGTTCTAATCACATCCCCAGATTTTCCGCATGCAAACGGCTCCTATCCGTGCAGCACTAGAAGATTTTGAGTGGGTCTTTGTTCAAGGCACCGTCCGCCACACTGAAGGTAAGAATTACGAAATTACTACTTGGAAGAGCATGACTAACGTGCTCGATGCTTGTAACAGGAAACTGGTCTCTACACACATCCGACTTTTCCAAGCTCCCTTTATACACATACTACAACCCATTCGACCCTGAATCCATCATACAAACTCATGAAGAGCTCCTCCACATCATAAGGAGCCACGGTCCCTTCGATGGTGTTTTCGCCTACTCTGGCGGAGCAGCACTAGCGGCCGAGCTTCTTATTGAAGCTGCTCGTTCTGAGACAGCTATCGAGCCTCTATTCCGCTTCGCCGTCTTCGTGAACGGCGCATCGCCGCTACGCGTCTTCGAAGTCGACGATGTCGACACGGTGAGCGGCCATGTTGACGTCTCGCAAACATTTCAACAAGCAAAAGAAATGTTTCTCCGACCTAGCGCGCTGCGACACAAGCCTGGTGTCAGTGAAGAGGATCAGGTGGATCACAAGAAGTTGCTCGGACTCTTGAGCAGATTAGAAGGGAAAATGATGGCAGATGGGACAGCCTTTTTGAGCGATGGCACGTATGGGCTATGTCGGTGGGAGCAAAACAAATTGCAGCCTGCATTGATTGAAATTCCGACTCTCCATGTGAGGAGCACGGCGGAAGATCACGTGGACCCGCATCATGGAAAACATCTGGTTGAACTGTGTGACCAGTTTGATGTGGAGGAAATCCATCACGAATTTGGACACGATTTTCCTAGGGGAAGACAGTTGATGAAGCAAATAGCGGATGCAATTAGAGAAATGGCTGAGTTGGCGTGATAGGGGTGGTCTAGGCAACACAATACTTTTCGTTCTAGCAAATTATACCCCTTGCCATTCGCAAAGCTTGTGCAACTCAGGTGTTAGTGCGGGTACAGTACCAGACTGAGAAAACTGGACGAGTCAACCTGAACTTGAGATCTCAGTCCAGACCCATGCGCCTGAGGATCTCAAAGAGCTCGTGCGCCAAGGTATTCGGCGGCGATAACGTACGTTCTGCTCGCATTAGTTGGAGGTCGAGGCCCGCTAGCTCATGCGACGTTCGTACATTCATTGCTTCTTCGCTCAGTAGCCGCATCTGGGAACTTCCAAATGAGTCCTCCTCCTACTTGGGCATATCAGATGGAGGAATCGGATGGGACGTAAGAAGGTGAATTTTATGACGCATTATCTTTCGAAATCGTAAACAGAATTTAGGCTGCCCCTAGGAAGTAGGCGTTCGAGAGATCGGAGTTCTCCCGCTACTATTGTTCCAAACGCTCATTGTCACCCTCATTCATCAAACGCTGCGAGACTGTCATGTCTTCTTTGGACTGAGGGCTCGTCTCATTTTCCACCTGGTTGCCAGCGTACGGTTTATCTGGAGCCGCAGTTATTACCCTATGTGCATCGTTCTTCGCCCATGTTTTCTGTGAAGACTGCTGTGAGCTAACATCTGGATATAAAAGCGCTGTAAGATTGCGTCCCAACGAGGTTTGATTAAGGAACCATCTCATCCTATCCAACCCAGTGCGCTGCAAAAGCAGAAGTATGACTGTAGCGACACTTATGATGAGTGTCAGCAACAGCAACAACATTACTGGTACCGCGTAGACAATATTGTACTTCGTGCTTCGTTGCATCAGAATGACGTGGGGTACCTCATGCGGACTGTTCTGGTCTTGAGATACAGATGTGGCTGAACCTGGCGACTTAGCCAACCAGGATCGAGTACCAACTACAGCGTTTGCAGCGATGTCTGTCCATATCAGGTTGATAATGTCTGCAGACCGTGTAGCTGTCCGTCCAAGTTCAAGCCACCTTTGATATAGGGCGAATTGACCATACCCTGAGTAGTCATGGATCTCTACAGATTCAAGTGCTGTGTCACTGAATAGCTCTGCATAGATATATTGCATGATAGTGCTGTAAAAGCTTGCTCCTGGTGTGTTCATCTTGGAGTCTACAACTGAAGACAAAAAGCGCCCAGTATATCCAGGAAGCCATAGTGACTCCCTCTGGATAGATGAAATGTTAGACCTTTCTGCGAATTTCGGGCTTAATAGACCCCAAAATGGTTTTATATCCCTATAAGTAATACCAGAGTCTTCCACTCCCCAGATGGGCATGGATGATGTATTGGGATAGGTCTTTTCCGTCACATTGATGACACGCAGATCTGATAGGCCTCCGTTACCATTATATAGAAATGTAACAGTTTTGATAGTAGCTCGGGAAGCCGATGCACAGGTGTAAACTCGTTGTGTCCATGCGTCTCCGGGCTTGCCAAGATCAAAAGGGTTCAGGTCTCGTCCCATAGGTCTCGGTGGAGGGTAAAAGGTACCCGTGGCTATCGCGATATTCGAAATGTTTGCTAAAGACCATGAATCTACGCGTCCCTGAGCAACATCCTCTTGTGTAGTAGGTTAGGATGTGCGCTTCTTCTGAGTGGAGTGGAAGTATGCACATACCGAAGTATTCAAAAGCATCCGTTGTGACATTATGAGGATTCGTGTAGATCTGGTTATGGTTCAAGAAGAACGTGGAGTTTCTGGCGATGTCGGTCATCGAAGGGAGCTCTAAATGTTGACCAAGCCTACGAAGAGCAATTCTCCCTGGTTTTGGGATGAATTGGCCGCTTTCCCACCGCTTCCGCTGAATGAAGTTGTGTTCGACTCATCTTCAAGAAGGTATGATGTCCCGACTGGCGCCTGTTCGTACATCCTGAATTCTTTCAGGCCGCGCTCTTTGTCCGTCAAATTCATATAAATCATGGTTAATGCGTTGCTATATCCAGCTGCAAATAGTGCTCTAGTATGGAGATAGATGCTGTCTTGTGAGCTGTTCATGGTGTGAATGCCTTCCAGGTTGACTGTACTGTTCAGATCTGCGAATCCGCCACGATCTGTCAGCCGTAGGATGCCACCAGATACCAATGTGTGGAGTGTATCGTCTTCTTTGAGATCGTAATCGATCGTTAGATTGTTATCGACGCAACTTGTTTCGGGCACAATGAACAGGATATCTTCTGTCCATGTGACTTCATGAGAAATCTGAGGGGGAATAGTGTGGTTACGAAAACCAATTCCACCTCTTTCCAAATCGACCACCAGCCCTTCAATAATTTTGAATCCGTTGCTTGAAAGTAACCCTTGTATCGGCCGGTATCCTCCCACTAGGTATGGTGATCCATTGTCGTAGTACTTCTCAGTAGATGAAGAGATATCATTGTACCTAGTGAACATGCTTGATAGATTCTGCTGTCTGATCTCATAGGAACGCCACTGAATATCAAACATACTGGACACACTCCTTTCCATCACGTCTAGGCCACTTGCCCATAGGTTCTGTGTCTCCAAAGAGATGTTGGTGTAGTAGTAGCCATCTGTCCAGCTCCAATTGAGGGTAAAATTATCAAAATTAGTGTAGAGTTCTCGGAAGACAGAGAAGTTTGAGCCGGGACAACTCATCGATCCTTCCGGGCTTCCACAGATACGATTAAAGCCCATATCATTCCTAGGAAGACTTCCATATCCGAAGGGTGTCAGATCTTGCGCGTAGCTGAAAGGCACTCTCTGAGGTTTACTGGACAGCATTGCATCATAAAGACCAAGGGGCGTGATGACGGCAGTCACAGCGACTAGAACTGTTGTGAAGATGCCCAAGTAGACTGCGGCGACAACTGCAGGGTTCACATTCTTACTCGCTGACGAGTCCGAGCTGAGGATTGTTGGCCAGTATGTTGAGTGGAGGGTTCGACTGAGCGTAGACCATGTGACAGCGGTCTGCTGTACTTGATCATCCCGCTTGTTGATGAAAGCTATGAGGATGAGCGGGATTGCTAGTGGTAACAGGAGTTGTACTTTTCCGATGGTTAATGACTGGCAAGTAGCTGTGTACATTGAGGTTGACTTACGTGAAGTAGTGCCTGCAGCAATCAACGCCGAGACTTGACCAACAGACAGCGATGTCATTGTGACAGCAACGCGGATCGATAGCAAAGCCTTTCATGTGTCGCAAGTTTGGGGCCGTTGTGGTTCGAAGGTAGTCAATAACAGATCTTGCTTATGTTCCAAGGTTTGCATCAATCCTGCCCAGTTGGTTTCCTCTTCAACTATAAGAAGGAGGTCTACGGGATGGTACATGTAGCTAAGGCTTCCGCGGAAGGCAGACCAGGTACAGCCACCTCTGCCATGTCGTGACCTAAACACAAGCAGTCGTTTCACTATCTTGCACTTGCTCCAATAAATGAAGAAAACTCGTGGACGCCATGAGTCGGCATTTGCTCACAGGTCAAGCTTTAGTCGAGCTAGTTGGGCCAGATTCCTGACCTGCAAGCTGAAAGAGGCATTATTTGTGACCATTGCCGCCGCCGAATAGAGGCTGTGAAGATAGCGTCTCGGCATTTTTCAGCTGGCGGAGATCTAGACCAATGACATAGAGGTGTGCCCAAGGTAAAAGCATACGTTTTGTCTTTACTAGGATTCAGTCGAAAAGTCGGGTCATTCTCAAAGATCGGGTCAAGAAAACATCCACGCCAACTCGACTACCTGCTATTTCGTCTCACTCAACACACGACAATTGCTTTGCTTGTTTTTGGGCCATCTTCTTAAGTTCGCATAACTATGACGTGTACTAAATCGGGCAAAACAATTCAAAGTAGCATCGCACAATGAGAAAAAAGAGAAGTTCCTTTAATGCCGCATAATTGATCGTCAAACCGAAGCTTCATAGCAAGAGGCTTGACCGAAACCAGAACACTTACTACCCATTCCAACTTCAAAAAAACACCCCTATATATTATTTCCCTACAACGACCCAAAAACAGGATCCAGCCACCTGTCAATAACGTAGACGCACGCATTCCCCACGCACTTCGGCTCTCCCTTCACAGCCGCATTATTCACGCTCGTTACAGCCCCATCACCATCTCTTCTCACAACCGCCGGGAACCCAACAATTGACTTTTCACTACCAACCGTCGTCGTATCTATGAAAGGATACTCAAGCAAGTACGAAGTGAACGGCTGATTACTTGGTTGAATGGCCTTGGCGCTTTGCCCGACAGCCGCAAGAGCCGCGTTACTTGGGGCGAAGATGGAAATGTACTTTCCAGCAGGTAGAGACGAGTCTAGAAAGCTGAAGAAAGCCGGAGATGTTGCGTTCAAGAGAGCTACGTATGTCGAGATATCTGGCAAAGAAGATAGGGCCGATACGATGGTTCCCGAGGGTCGCAACTCGTACTCTAAGATTTTCTTGGCTTGTCGGCGTCTGGCGGATGCGATGGCAGATCCGTTCTTGTTGACATCGGTTCCGAAGATCGATACCAAAGGATCGATTATTGAGGTGATTTTGAAGATTGCCCCGTTTCCTACAACAGTACCTTGCGCAGAGACTAGTTTGGCTTGGTTGCTGATCGTGATAGTGTTACCCTCGGACACAAACTTGAGAGGTATGCCTTCGATGCTTATAACGGGCTTTTCCGAATTGCGGACTTCCTCGGTTGTCACTAATCCTTCTGCGATGTGAGTTCTCAGGATGGCTTCGAGGAGCACATATGATGCTGGTGCTGTCAAAGCTGCTGCTAGTCCCGGCTGCAGCGCCTCAAATGCCTGTATCGATCAGTAATCCACTTGGTTTAAGACAGGTCGCTACCTACAGAGTTGACGGGTGCGAAAGCCGTGTACTTCCGTCCATCTGCGAGGACATTGAAGCGCTCTTCGAACGGCGGACCAGGAATACCGCTGGTACCTCCTGTACTATTGAAAAGGCTATAAAAAGTAGAAAGTTCTGGATCTTTGGAAATTGCAGTCAGGAGTGGTAGCGTATTTACGGTAGCTCTTTCGACTATAGAGGAAGATGTGAGAACTGCCAGCAAAGTCACTGGACATATCCGTTTCAACAGCATCATGGTGTGTTGACCTCAATCTTCAAATCAGATCTGGAGATTTTATCTCCTTGACTTGGTTGCCTTATGGCTGAGCTGAAGCTATGATCGAGGTAGCGTAAGTTGCACTTCAAGTTTCCGTCCCCACTCATGTTATAAGTACGTTAGACGGGCTTCGGGCAAGCACATCGGCCCTTCCAGAGGCCTTATGCTTCCTTGCCGATGCATAAAGAATGACCCCACCCAATATCTGCCAAAGAAACATGCATTCAGTAGAGACTATCTTGTTTGTTTCACAATTTACAGTCGTCTGCGATAATAAATAGCGAAACTGAGTCGACATTAACACTAAACGCATTGGCTTGATCTGCTGTCTTTGCGACGCCTCCATAGCAGTCCGTTCAATGTTTTCCACGGATGCAATATCACTGTGGTGAGGGTATCCCATCTCTGCAATCTCGGGGATACTCTGTCATCGAATAAGGTTTCCCGCTCGAACGAATAGAGTTCATTGTGGTAGACTGCGGTACGCGGAGCAACCAATGGCGTATAGCAGTGGCAGGGATCTAGGATTGTTGGTCATGTTAAAAAAACATGATTACAATGTCAATTGAATCTGCCGTTGACAGTGAGGAGAACATATGTCGTCAGACGGAACGGCTCTGAAGCAGCCAATCAAGAGCGAGTGCCGATCGGAGTCTGACGGAAGGCAGACATTTGGTTGCATCGGCTGCGTCCAGATCATGATACTTCGACCAAACATTGTTAGTGAAATGAGGAGGAAATAAGTCAAAGCTAGGTAAAATGAACGATAGGAACAGTATGCAAAGTACAGGGCCTGGAGCTGAAAAGTAGGTTCAACCCAATGACAGGCCAAGGGTTACTTCGACCAGATATGACGACATCAGCCGATTACCACATTCACATGCTAAACTTTATATGATGAAACCTAGTGGACATCCCGCCTTGAGTAATTTTCAGTCTCCCTAACCAACCCGAAAACCAGACCATACTCACGACTCAGTTTTGGCGGCTCTTGCTTATCGCGCTCTCGCCTAGTGTAGCAAAACTTCTCAAAACCTTCCTCAGCGACTCCGCAACTTTCTTAAATTGCTCATCCGTCATAGAATAAGGTGGAGTCAAAAGCAGGCAATGCTTGTTTGTACTCGCCCTTAACACGATACCGTATTCTAGAAGCACCTTTTGCTCGATATCCGTTGCGATGTCAGAAATGAGATCGATCCCAATCATGATACCAGTTCCACGAACTTGCTGAACCGTATGCAACCCCTCGAGTTCTGACTTGAGGATATCAAGAAACTCCCTGCCGCGCTTCGCACATAGCTCAATCAAGTTCTCCTGGTCGATAATGTCGAGTGCGCGGAGAGCGACGGCAGAGCAGACTGGATGACCTGACCAAGTATAGTCGTGCTGCCAGAAATCCGATAGCATCATCTTAGTACTGATATTATTGAACGCTGTTTTCCAAATGTCGTTGCGGTAAATCACAGCTCCAGCAGGGAGATAGCCGCATGTAAGACCCTTGCTGATGACCATGATATCTGGGCACACGCCGTACAACTCCATACCGAACCAGTGCCCCATCTTGGCAAATGACATGATTTCATCTGCAATCATCAAGATGCCGTACTTTCTGCAAATCCGCTCCGCAAGTGGGAAGAAGTCGCGGTGCATGTCGACAGCGCCACCGTTGCCTTGAACGGGCTCAAACACGAAAGCGGCAACGGTATCAGCGCCTTCTTGGAGAATTCATTCCTCCAGTTCCCGTGCTGTTCCAGCATCAGCAGTATATCAAGGGGATTCACATGGAAACACCACTTACCAGCCGCCTGCCCGACATTCTCTCCGTGCTTCAACTTGCTCCTTTCAAAGAACAACTCATGTGGAGGATCGATATTGCAAAACATCCTATGCGAGCTGCTTTCATACACATTACGCCCATGGCCCTCCATCCACCTCTTCCACCCGTAGTCGGAGAACTCGGGTTTCATGGACGCAGGGATAAACGTACTGCCATGGTAGCAATTGCGGAAAGAAATGAGTTTCTGCTTCTTGTAGCCTCCGCCATAGCTAGTACCTAGAGGCCCAGATTTATTCCAGTAGCGCAAAGCAAGATGATACGCAGCTTCTATGCCCTCGCCGCCGCCAGTAGTGAGGTACACGCGGGAGCCAGTCATTTTCTCTGGAAAAGCTTGACCCGCAAGGCCGGAAAGGCGCTCGCAGAGTTTCACGGCATTGTTATTGGTCAGATTTCGCTGGTTGGAAGAGACTTCCAGCTTCGTCATCTTTGCATCCGAGTTAGTTTGGTCATCAGAAACAAGGTCGTATCTGACCAACCTGCTCAAAAGCAACTTGCGCGAGATCCTTGCGGCCGTGACCAAGATGGGCAACAGTAATGCCCCCCATGGCATCCAGGTACTCTTTTCCCATGACATCTTTCAGAACAGCTCCATCACCCGATTCGAAGACGACGAGCTGTCTTGGTCCTTTTTGCATGAGGGGATGACCAAAGCCGTGCATTTGATGCGCCTCATCTGAGGCTTTGAGATCTTCGTATGTGGCAGTCTCTTTATCTCCTTGTCCTAGAATCATTGTCTCCCCATCTTGGAGAGTTGCTTGATCGTGGGAAGACATGGCAGCTGTGAGTGAGAATGATCGGGAGGACAGCGGAGGAGTTGTGAATGCTCGAAGCGACGATAGCAAGGGGCGACGGATACGGAGAGAAAACATGGTACAAGATAGCGATTCCAACTTTGATGCGGAGCATATAGCTCATATATCGTTCAATAAATGAGGCGGGGCAATGTAACAAGAAGCATGTCATTTGTTTGTCAATGGGAAGGCCTCGGACTAATGCATGCACCATCGTGAGAAATGCAGGTAACTAGTTCTGGAATTCATCATATCGTCATTCTGAAAGAACAATTAGAAAATACTACATATCGAAAAACAGGTTCCTTAAAGTTCCTTCAGCTCTGGGGTGCCAGCAGCCCGCGGCTCCGAGAACTTCGTTTCAACGAAACACTTTAGTAAGCCATCCTGGCGCTTCTCCTGCAGGTAGTAGGCCTTCGCAATGTCCTCAATCTTGAGGCGATGGGTCACCATGAATGTCGGGTCGACCTCGTCCTTTTCCAGCATTTCGAGAATTTCCTTCCAATCTGTTGCATGTCAGTAAATAAGCCCACCCATTTAGGCAAGAGATCCTTACATTTCTGAACTGGACACTGTCCGCATCCAATCAGTCGAATACCGCGTTCCATAACCGCACCAATGTTGAAGTGGTTCGTAACTGTAGCAGAATGAGTCCAAGTCCACAGCCAACTATGATTCGACAACTTACATCCAACGTAATCTCCAATGATACCAACTCGGCCAAACTTCCTGGTTGAGTAAATGCACTCGTTGATCATCTCGGACGTGTCCTGCTCCATTCCAGACATCAGTTCAAGCTTGTGTGTCCAAGTCTTTGCATACTCTCCGCCGCTAGCCTCGATACAAGCGTCGACACCTCCAGGGACCATCTCATGGATCTTGGCAGGAATGGACTGCTTCTTGAGCTCTTCGTAGTTGATGGTCTCCAGTCCCGGGATCTTTTTCTTTGCAAATTCAGTGCGCCAATTGTTGTCAATGCCAATGACACGCTTCGCGCCCTTCTTGAACGCCCATACACATGCCATGAGGCCGATAGGTCCAAGACCCCAGATAGCAACACTGTCACCTTCAAAGACGCCAGTGTCACACACGCTGTGGTAGGATGTCGGAAGTACGTCAGAAAGATAAAGACCTTATTCTTATCAGCATCATTCACTTGCGAGGCCAATTAAATAACTTACCCTTCTCAAAAGGAACACTGTCCGGCAACTTCAAAAGATTCTGATCGCCAAACGGCACCCTAACATACTCCGCCTGTCCACCGGCATATCCGCCCACAAAATGCGAATACCCAAATATGCCCCCCATCTTCTCGCCATACAGCATCTGATGGACGGTAGACGCATTCGTCTTATCGCAAGCCGTCGTAAGATTCTGCTTGCAAAACCTACACTCACCGCACGAGACAACGAAGCTATTCACAACGCGATCTCCAACTTTTCGCTCAGTAACTTTAGACCCAACTTGCTCGACGACGCCACAGAATTCGTGGCCGAGGATATCACCCTTCTCCGTCTGGATGATGACGCCGTGCAGGAGATGCACGTCGCTTCCGCAGACAGTGGAGCCGGTGACACGTACAAGCACATCGTGGTCCTCGATGAGCTTGGGCTTGCTGACGTCCTCTTTACGGGAATCATCAGTTGAAGCTTTATTGAAACGTTGGATGGTTGTACATACGAACACGCACGTCGTTCTTTCCCATCCACACCAGCGCCTTCATCTTCTCGCCAGACGGGTCCGCGTACTTTCCTCCATCACGATCCGGATTGGAGATATCAGTTTGCGTTACGGTACTCTGTTGATCGTGTCCAAGGACCTTTTCGGCCTGTTTTGCTGCAAAGTTTTCCGCCATGATTGTTCGTGCTTGTTATTTCCAAGAGGATGAAGATTGGATGTAGAGTTCGACCTGGTATTCGAGGCACCCCCCACTTATCATGTCCGATACCGCCAGTATAATGGCAACTAACGTTGCAATAAAAGCATTCTGACGCTGCTATGACGCAACGTCGACAGCTGTTCCGAGCAGCGTATGCAGCTTTCACGAGAGCTGAATGTCAGTTTTCACCGCGTGACGTCAAAATGAAAGAAACACTGGGGTTTCATTACCACCACGCGACGTAAGGTCGAATACCTCACCCTACACTCTACCTTCTCAACCTCAATCCCAACCTCAATCTCCAGCAAACACAACGCCAACACATACCAAAAGAAATGCCACAATACCACCACCCCGGAGGCACCGTCTCCTACCCGGACGCAAAATCTCTCTACCCCTCCGTCCCTCGCGTCAGTTTCGGCCGCGCCGTCGCGATCGGTCTCTCCGCCGGCTTCCTCGGTGCCCTCGTGTAACACTTCCCCCCTTCCATACCAAGCCCCTCCTCCAAAATAACCAACTCCCCCAGCATGTCCGGCACCAACAAACTCGAACAACTTCTCACCCACCGCCCAAACTCCTTCGTTCCCGCCCGTACAATCGGCAACCACCTCGGCGTCAGCGCCTCCTTCTACGAGCGCAACACCAACCTGCTCAACCACCTCCATCACTTCGGAATGGGCATCTTAGCCGGACCGGTGAGGGCGGTGATGTCGTATTACGGGGTGATTGGCCCGTTTGCGGCATTTGTACATACGGGGATTAGGATGATGATGGATCAGAGTGTGGAGTTGACGGCGGGGACGAGCGCGGTGCCGTGGTCGTGGCCGATTAATGAGCAGGTGGTGGATGTGCTGCATAAGGGAGTTTATGCGGTTGTCACGGGGTATGTTTGTGATCGGGTAGTTAGGGGGGTGGACTGGTTTGGGAGGGATTGAGCCGAGTGCGGGTAGATAGTGTACAGTGAAGAGGTAAAAGGGAAAACATGTTGATCATGATTTTGTGGTTGGGTAGATTTTGTATTGTACAGTAACTCCAAACGAGATTTTGAACGGTTAAACACGGAACTTAGGCATTCTTGTCCATTCTCGCCTTCCCCCTCTCCTCTTTATTCTCCGGTCCCGGCCGATCCGTCGAAACAGTGCCCTTGAGCTTCGCCGTCTCCGCCACACCCTCACCCTTCTTACTTTTCTCGGGCTGGTGCGAAACCTGCGATGTATGATGCGTATCTGCGTTCGACAGACCCTCTTGTTTGCCAGACATGTGGTTCATGCTTGTGGGTTTGCCGCGGGGATCGGGCTGTTGTTGTATTAGCAATCTTGACATCCCGAAGAACAGAAAAGAAAGAGTGAAAGAGGGTTAGGTATTCGGGGGGAGGTAGGTGTAAGTAAACGAACCTTGTCGTATAAGTCAGGCGTCACGGCGCCTGGGTCCCCAGACTTCTTGGAATCACGCGGTCCGTGGCCTCTGAGACCGCCTTCTTCGTCGGGGTCAGGACGACCGGCGCCAGGTTGACTAGAATCAGGTTTCTCTTGTATCTTTTTCTGTCCCAGCTTTTCGCCGCTTTTGCCGTTCTGAGTCCCGGGTGCAAAGTCCTTGTCTGCTTGATCCGTTAGCTTCGGTTCAACGGGAGTGTTGGGGGATTTATCTGACCCTTTGATGGTGTAGTATCGCCCTCGTTTTTGTAGGTGATTTCACCCACGTTGGTGTGTTGCGCTTTTGCTTGCTTGCTGTCGGCGTGGGAGGTGTCTTGCTTTGTCACGAGATAAAGACCCCCAGCGGTACCGACAGCGGCGGCTGCCATCCTGCAGGAACATGTTATTGATTTGACATTTCAAGGGTTTTGTCAAACGTGCCATGGGACGTTGCTTGTGTTCATTTTGGCGGGTAGGCCGCGCGCGCTGGCATACGTCCGACCTTGGACTTGGACTGCATTGCGCAATGGGTGGAGCCTCGAGGCTACGCGCGACGTGGTTGATCGAAGTAAAGACATTGTGGATTGAAATTCAAGGATTGAGATGATTGAGACATGGCAGAATTTCAGACGGCGGTTTTGATGATATGGAGGCACTTTGTGTTGCTAACACGGACATATCGTCAGAGCGCAATAGTTGGTGCGTCACACGGGTAATCGCAACGTAGTGTAAGCGTCACTGAAGCACATCACTATGCGATTCCTAATCCGAGGACACTCAAATCTGGTCTTCCTCATATGGCTTAAACTTTAAGAGGAGAATGGCTAATCTCGTTCGCGTCACTCGGTATAAGGACAATCTGGTTTGGAATGGCGTCATCTCGACACCATTGTAATGTATGATGCGCGTTGACATGCATCTCTTCCCATACCTGTCACACCCCACATAGATTCATAAGAAGCATGACTACGACACATGCAGTTATCGATCGAGGAAGCTTTCAAGTCGAAAAGAAGAAAATGCCTTTCATTAAGCAGCAATAAATCGCAATCCCACGCTAACCCAAGTCTAAACAAAACGCCAAGGAACCTTTCTATAAAGATGACCCGATATGGCTCACTCTTATGAGCACTCTACACACCCTACTTCAATCCCCTCAATAACAAACGGCTTGCTAAGCTCGCTGGGCACACTCACCTTGCTCAAATCAAGATCCTTTACACTGCCCGTCTCGCTGGTAGTCTCACTACCAAGCGCAGAGTCGCTCTTGCGCCGGCGAGCCTCAGTCTCTTCTTCAATATAAGCATACTCGTTGCGCCAGTCACACAGCATCCTGCTGTTGACATTGCTGCCGCCACAGAGGACAATGACGACTTTGTCTTCGGGGCGGACAGGGCGACCAAGTGCTTTCTCGAGACGCCCGTCGTAACAGAGAGCAACGTTGATGCCGCAGGCGAGCTCGACCATGATGCGCTCGTCGTCAGCAAGACGCCAGCAGCCCATTGCGGCTTCAGCATCGGGAAGAACGACGCTGCGGACATTGCCGCGTTGGGCGTATTTGAAGGTTGCGTCTGTGACGCGGGCGCAGCCTAGGCTGGTTGCTTGGGATGTGATTTTGGGGAGGGTGATGACTTCTTTGGCTTGGAGGGCCGCGTGTAGACTCTCGGCTCCGGCAGTCTCCATGGCGAGGATGGTGGTCTTGGTCATGTTGAGGGAATCCATGGCTTGACAGATGCCGTTGAGAAGGCCGCCGCCGCCGACGGAGCAGATGAGGACATCGGGCTCCTCGCCGCCAGGCATCTGGGCTGCAATCTCGGTCATGCAAGTGCTGTTGCCTTGCCAGATATCTGGGTGGTCAAATGGTGGGCAGTAGATGGTTTCTGTTTGTGCCTGTGTGATGTGTTAGTCCAGTGAAGCTATGTGATGTGAGATGGGGACGACGTACATAGGGCATGACGTGCTCCTTCAAGTATGCATCAGCATCCTTCCATGCGGCACCATGTTGGATGACTTCGTATGCACCAGCAGCCCTGAGCTTAGCTACCATCAAGGGTGCAGTAGCGGTCGGCACGACAACAGTGCATAGTAGGTTGAGGGCACGAGCCGAGTGAACAGCAGCGAGGCCAGCATTCCCACCACTGGAAGCAAAGATGTGAGGGCGTGTGCCTTTAGGAAACTCTGCGAGACGACGGAGGATGTAGTTGCCGATGCCTCTGTTGCTGCATTAGTAAAGTGACAACCATGAACAGTGTAGTCAATCCTTACCGTGACTTGAATGATCCGGAAGGCTGGAGGTTTTCCAGCTTGAGGAAGACTCTGCTTCTGCGATTTAGAAATCTCTTTTCCCAAATGGTGAAAGTGAAACTTGGGTGACAGGAAAAGTGTGACCGTACCATCCCGCTGCTTCAGAAAGCGCATACGACTCCCTCAATGGAGTCTGAACCCAAGGGCTCTGGGCAGACTGCTCCTCAGTGTGGTACTCCTTGACGGCCATGTTGAAGATAGTAAACAAAGTTGGGTATCACAAAAAAAGTATCAAGAACAAGTGCAGGGTGAAAGCCTAGTGAAGATTATGGGACCTGGAGCTTTCAAAGTTTCTTTCGCGGATGTCAAACTCAAGTACACAGGATTCTGATCTTTTATCTCTACCAAAATTCTCCTTATCGCTCCGCACGCACCCGCAACCCCAGAGTCCAGGTGCATAGGGCCAGTGGGGTAACTGGCTCATCACAACCATGATACCTAGTATTGATTACCCTATAAAGTGCATGAATTACCCTATAGATTCTCGATAAGGAACAGGCGACCACGTAGGTACCGCAGAATGACACAAGCATGAGACCCGGTCCTCGAAAAACCAGTCCCTGGTTTGCATTTCCCGATGCGGTTATCAGCGGCGGTCTATATTCTGCCGGGCGTTACCGCCTCAGATGGCGTTATGCTTTTGGCGTATTTGCCTATCACAAGACGCGAACCAGTCGTTTATACAGGGGAGCTTGTCCAAAAGGTACCCATCCGATCACAGCTCGGCGCAACAGTGGGGATGGTGTTGGGCTCGGGAAAGTCGCGGAATCCAAGAGGAGATCCCCGACGGAAAGGGAAACTAAAAAGCATGCGACCGCATGGCGCGTCCTAGCCTGTTATCACGATCGGAATATTCGCCAACAATGCGTTTGCGGGTACTCTAGGCACTTTCGAAATGTACTCGCACTGGAATATGACATGTGTGGTGCGGATCCGCAGAGGTAGAAATGGATCTACGCAGTTCATCCTCGTCGATTCTACCCGGCCCTAGTCTACGCAGCGACTTTGGGCTGTTCGAGCAAGCCCTTTCTGAAGTTCCAGTAACTGGCGCGTATCGGGTCGTATTTGGTCGCCAAAAGATCCAACGCCTGCTCGGCTCTCCTCTTGCCGTCTTCTTCTTCGGCGTAAATGTCGGCCAGCAGGTCCAGGGCGTGGCTTGAGTGCACGTTGTCGGGGTCTTGGACGTCGGCAAACTCACCTGCAAAGTCCTTGAGGGTGGACTTGGGGAGTCCGGCCGCACGGAGGATTCCAAGGATGTAGTTCCACGGGCTCTGGTTCTGGGGCGCTTTACGAATGGCTGCTTTTGTGTACCTAGTCGGGTTAGCAGTCAGCCATGTGCGGGAGCAGTAACAGCAGTAGCTCACTCTATCTCGCGGTCGGCAATGTCTGCGCTGGGCTTGCCTTCACGGCCTCCGACGACCAGGTAGTAGCGGTGGTTCCACGCCGAATTATTCCGAACATCCTGCTCAATCATGTCGTGTGTCCATTCCAGCTCTTCGGGCTTGTCAAACATGTCAAACCGCTTGACCAGCCATTGCCTGTAGCTCCACACATGGTAGTTCTTGGAGTCGAGCTCGAGCATGGAATTGATGAACTCGGGCTCGCCCTCTGGTGAGCCCAGCTGGTCAATAATGGTATGGCGGTGATGCCAGATCTGGTAGTTCTTGAGGTGTTTGAGCGCAGTTGGATTGAGCCATGCGATTTCGTCCTGCAACGACCTGCCGATTTCGGATATGGTTTTCACGCGGTAGAGCCTGTGGAGCATCAGGTAGCCGTAAGGTGCGCATGCAGGTCGACTCACCAGACAGTGTAGTGCGCGGGGTTCATGCTGATGATGTGCTCTGTGAGGCCGAGGACTCGCTCGCTGTACTCAGTCTTGGCCATTATGGCGCGCAGGTAGCCCATGGCCTCGCTGTACTCGTCGCTATACGCAATGGCAGCGAGGGGATGCAGACCGCCGTCATCCTGGGGGAGGGGTTCTATGTCCGCCCATGCCTCGTCATCGTGGTAGAATTTGGGCATTCTGCCGTCTCTGCCAGACGCGTCTAGCTCTTCGAAGTATGAGCGCGTGGGGAGCAGGGCGCGCAGTAGGCGATATGGCAGCAAGGTGATGGCCCCTAGCCAGGCGCGGATAAGGTGGAAGAAAGCCATGGCGGGGTCTAGTCGAGCAACCTCGACTCCACTGCTTGGCGGAAATCGCGACCTCTTGTGGAATTTCTATCTCTCGCAGAACAATAGCAGCCTGTTTGGCACAAGTATGAGCGCCAATTGCATATGGACAATAGGTGGCGCATGTTGGTGAATCTTGTGCCAGGAAATCCCTCGCAGATTGATCCATTGTGCACATGGGGTGTTTTCTGAGCATATGCAACGAACAATGCTAAGGGCTGGTATGTACTAAATCGCGCCCTGTGAACCCATCACCCCGCGTATGCGGTCTTCTCATATGGAGATGATGCGTATGAATACGAGCATGGCGGATGCAAGGACTTTGGAACATGATTTGGGAGTTTGTAGACTTCTCAACGAGGGCCAGTACAGGCCATAGTCACGTGGTGCACATGGCCATACATTGTCTGTACTAATCTTTTACCCAGATCAAATCAGAATCATCCAAAGAACTACATTGATATTTTTCCCCAAGATTGCTCGATAATTTACCAAGTAAAATCTCCAAAAGAGGAATAAATATATGCACATCACCACCAGCTTCCCTCACCTCACCCCCCATCTCCCACGCACCTTCTCCCACCTTCCTCAACCCTCGCTCTTTCCACCCCCAAAAAAGAAATGCCAATCCACTCCCCTCCTCTTCCTTTCTCTCTCTCCACAACACCAAACACCACCTCACCCGCGCAAATGTCTCAAACAAACCCACCAACCTCAACCACACCTTCACCCCACTCCCTCGCGCAACCCTCCCACCTCCCAACCCCCCAGGACACACTAGTCCCCTACCTGATCTTCGAAATAGAAGATTACCTCTCTGAAGACTACCTCGGCAAATCCATGGAGCGCACGCAAGCCGACTATACACCTTCACAGTTAAATAGAATACGAATCACTGTAATTTTTCTTCTCTCTACTTTTATACTACCTTTTCACCCAACTCACTCACACATCCAGCTCCGCGCCATCCTCTCCTTCACCTCCTCCTACGCGTCCTACAAACTCCAGGCCACCTGGCAACAATGGGCCACGAATCCGTACAACCTGCATCCGTCGTGGCACCTCTTTATCTTGTTTATGCTCCTGGCCTGGATAATTGGGAGTTCGGTGTGTGGGTTTTATGAGGTTGGGGCTGATGGGGGCAAGTTGAGGATTGCGAAGTTTTGTAGGGGTGCGCTGGGGAGCGTGCCGCCGATTATTCAGTTGATTTTGTTTTTGTATCCGCCGCTTTTTGTGCAGTTTTGAGGTGGTGGAGGGGGTGGGTTAATGGGAGTGAGTGAGAAAGAAGGAAGAAAGGGAAAGAGGAAAGGGGGCGAAGAAAAGAGATACCAAGACAATGGGCCGATTTATGATTCTCGATAAGCCGAAACCACTCGGGTACGAATAAACAAGAGCGAAGAGAAAATGAAAAGCCAATACGCCGTGGAACTCAACAATCAAAACACCCTTTACGCCCCCATCCGCAGCCATCAGTACTAATACACAACAAACTCAAGTCCACCGCTTACGCCTGCGTCTCCTGCGTCCCCAACAACCTCACCAAATCCTCCAACCCCCCTTCCTTCTCCTCCTGAATCCCCAACACCCTCTCCTCCACCCTCCCCTCAACCACCCTCCTCCAAACCCTCGTTTCCCGCGTCTGCCTCAACCGATGCACCCTATCGACCGCCTGATCCTCAATCGCGGGAGCCCACCACGAGTCCGAGAGGATAACTTGGTTGGCAGCGACGAGATTGAGACTAACGCTGCAGACGGAGAGGGAGGCTAGCAGGACTGTGGTGATGGGGGAGGAGGTGAAGTTGTGTAAGGCGGTGTCCCGCGCAGAAGGCGGCATGGAGCCATCGATGCGGGTGTAAGAGTACGAGTGCGCGGTTAGATGTGGGGAGAGGAGGGAGAGGAACGGGGGCCATTGGGAGAAGATGATTGTTTTTTTGCAGTGGGATCTTTGTGGGAGGCGGAGAGGATGGAGAAGATGGCTTTAATCTTTGTGCTTGTGTTTTGCTCCAAGGATTCTTTGTCGAGGGTTTCGGACTGAGA